ATTTCTTTCTTTAATTATTTAGTCCTTTACCATTTATTCAATTATTGGTTTAATAACTGGATAGTGAATTAATTTACGTGTTTGATCACTTCTTTATTTCTTGATACTTAATTTAAAAAATGTAATTAAGATGGAAGACAATATTTATGTAGGATTAAATTCTCCAACCGATTTTAGGGTAATTATAGAAAATCTGTATAAGATTCTACGAGTTTGATATTGTAGAATCTCAAACAGTCTGATTGCATTTCTGCAAAGTTCGAAGAGTTTATAAAATCCTAGCTTCCATGTAAGAATCTGTTGCCACCCCAACTTTTTATTTAATTATACGTTTCTCTGTATCCTGATCAGTGCTTCCCCTATACTCTTTCGCACGCAATAACCGTAAGCTACGGCCACGGTCGGCCGATGTCGACGGGGAAACACGCTCTGAATGGTCCCTTGTATAATCCTGAGTTTCCTAGCAAAAAAGACGGCCAGCGAACAGTCGGAGGGCTTGTTGAAATCGTCGATTTTTCCTGAGAATCGCCGCGGTACTGACCGCACATCAGGATTGCGAAAAAATAACAAGTTCCACCGCCCCTCCTGATAACCCTCAATGAATCTTCTTTGCGCGGAGAAAAGTGGTTTCTACCTTCCGGTTCTCGTAACGTGGAACGGCGATAAAAAGCGATCATTAGCGACCGTTCCAAAGGCGATGTTACCGATAAGAAGTTCCTTCCTTATAATGTCTTATCAGATTTGTAATTAAATCGAAGGACGTTCCGTTTTGTGAAAGTTACAGGCAATCGTGTTAACCACCGTTGCCTGTGGAAAGCCTGTGGAAGTGAAATAATTGAATGATGCATCCCAGATTCTGCCTAGATGGAATTGGGCCAGAGGATCTGCCCTTTCGCTTCTTTCTTCCTCAACCCAGCTGTAAGATACGACAGGATGATTCGGGGTCACGCGAGCAGTTCATTTCGTGACATTCTCTTCAGGAATTCATTCTTCTTCACGCTCTTCAGTCAAACTTCTTCTTTGTTATTCCTTATCTACGACTTTTTCCAAGCGAGGTCTTATTTCTCCCATTCAGATATTTCAATCCTTTTGTTGCGTCGATCGAACACTATGCAAACTTTTCATCAATCCCCTCAACGAACAAGCAATGTATTTCGAAATTGATCAAAGACAGCCCTAATTCTGTTAAACCGATGGGAGCTATTAACCCCATTTCGCGATGCTTTCGATCCACTGTCATATATAACGACGCGTGACACGATTCCCATCTAAATCAGTCCTAATTACTATCGCGAAACGCAATCGAAGCCACGTTCCATTAACACTAACGCAGGCTACGTACATATTTATTAGTAACAATTACTGACGACAGTTGACAGAAATATATTTGAATTTGTTTTGACCAGTTCATTTTAACAAGATTTTACGTACTCAGTCATTTCTAGACAGAATGAAAAATTGTATTCACGCATTCCGCGTCGAGTTTAACTCATCGTTGCTAAAATATTACAATGGCACTTTTTGCAAGGTGCAAGTAAATAGAATAACGATAAGATTATCAGAAATGGTTTGTTGCACAAGCCAAGGCGGAAAGCAGCGTGGATCGTTTTCCTCGAACGGCCCCCGAGGAGGGTTTCATCGCGCGGAATTAAAAGCGAGAGCGTTTGTAGCATGTCAGTAATCGGCGAGCGTGCGACACGCGAAATGATTTGCGGCTTGTTCGCGGCGTCTACTTTTAATAGCGTCGCGCGTAGAATATCGAGCGTATTTATTGCCGCGTCGTCGTCGTCGCGACCCTAAGTACGTGCACGTGAAAAATTCATGCGGGCACAAATCATCGCCTCGTTCCTCGCGGTTAAAATGCAAAAACAAACCGTGTTCGTCGCTGCACGTCGGCTGGACAGATCCCATGTTCGATACTTGCTGATTGTTTATTCAAGTCTCGCTTACGTAAGCTTTTGGAATATTGAGTTCGCCCCGTGCACTTGAGCTTAATGGAAAGGAATGATAGAAAGGGAAGTTGGGTAATATCATCTTTTAGGCGAAAGGATTATTGCACGATGGGTACGTCCTTTGTTCGCGACACGGGTATTATCTAAGCCATTCTAAGCCAACCGAGACACTCGACTGGAATCGTGCCAGGATATCACGCTATTTGTAGACGTTGTCGAGTATCCATTATAGTATTCCAAGAATCTTTATTAGTTGCAATTTCTGAGGCACACGTTGATTGCTACATGCTCGTGATTACGACGTAACTCAAAAATTATGGACCACCGAGTAACGAAGTTAAACACGTTATATCATTTTAGAACGTTACAATTGAAATGTCGCAATAAGATATGATATAATAGAACATAAATGTAATAGGAGATTGTGTGGCTTACGAATGTACATATTCTCTATTTGTTTAGTTGCGAGAGATTAACGGTTCATACTAATTGGACTAATTAATATCGTTTTCGTTTGCAGCACATGGTGCAGACAGGCATGGCTGCGCCCTACGGTGGGGGTGTCTTCCCCCCGCCGGTTAACGGCGTAGCGGGCGTCGTTGGGGCGGCCGGCGCGGCCGGTGAGGTGAAACCACCCCCGCCGGTCCCGGTCAAAGAGGACAACAGTGGTGCGCCCCAGCAACCGCCACCCAGCGGTCCCCAGGTGCCACCCCCGGCCGGTGCCCCCCATCCAACTGCCCCCGGTGCCCCGACCGCGACCAGTTTCAGTCCACCGCCGCCTCCAAACGGGGTCGATCAACAGGCTATCGTGAGTAACGACTATCGTCTGTTAATCCTTTTATACTGAAACATCAATTCGTTGAGATTGGTCTGCAAACATTTATTAATATCAAATATTGTGAAATGTACAGTTCCATCTTTGGATCATCTTCATTTTCACATCTTCGATACGACATGGAATGGATATAATTGGAAAAATTTTATTATATGAATATCAATAATATTATTTAAAATATCATCTTTAATTAATTCAATTACCTAAACCTAAACTTTGATTCAATGCAATTGGGTGGCAAACATTTATGAACTTCAAATATTATTAATGTAGAGTTTCGTTTTTGGATAGTTTTTAGTTTTATATTTTCAATAGAACATGAAATGGATATAATTAGAACAATTTGATTAAGTGAATATCAGTATTCAGGATATAATTAGAACAATTTGATTATGTGAATATCAGTAATGTTAATATTAAAGTTTGCATTGAACTTCCGTCGGCGAAATACCATTCGTATTATCCTACCTCCTGCGAACTAAATTTGTTCGCGCATTTATTTGAAAACAGTAAGCATATCTTTGGAACAAAAACCAGACTAGACTCCTTGATGCGTTTCGATCAAACAAATATCACGTTTCCGCGAATTTGAACATTCTGCAACGGTGAGCAAGCTAAACGGTCTGGATTTGTTTAAAAGCTCGTACTCGCTCGTGATAACTCGTCGCGTCGCGTACTCGCGGTAATTAACGCGGCTCATAAAGCGGCCTAATTAGCCGCGCTAATTAAAGTAATTTCGTTCGCTGATTCGATTTACTAGACGGCTGCTACCTGAATTCCGGACTCCGTCTACCACTCGAATTTCGCGTTAGTAGACAACAGCTTTTAATTAAAGGGTCCTTTCCTTCATAATACAAGAGTCTTGCCGAATTTGTATTACTGCTCAGTTTAAACATTTTCTACTTCATGAACAGACTGATTCGGGAAATGAAGTTGTCAACATATTAAGATTTTCACCTTTGAGAAGACGGTATTCCTTGTTTTCGTACAACTCTGTCAAATTAGTTGTTTTAATTACGAACTACAAGGTAAAGTTAGGAGACCTGTCAATTGTTCGTGATCGAAATCGGATTTAAAGTCGGAGGGACAGTTTGTCGTAGGATCGTATCTAATTAACCCGGAAAGTAACGGGGAGCATGCGAGGCATTTCGGACACTGAGTCGTTGAAGAGTTTCGAACAATGTCTTGGTTCTGGGCGACGTGGTCGCTTTGTCACGTCGCTCGTTTGGTCAATTATCCCGATCCGTGTTAGTCACCGACTCCTAAACCTGTGCAGTTCACCCTAACTATGTAACCATCCGCAAATCATTCATCGCCTCGTACTATTCTATTTTCTTCTGATCTTGTACGTAGATGTCAGAAAATTTCTCTCATTTCCTTTAATCACTTAATTTGCTAAGTTTTGATGATCATTTGAGCTAATTATGAACAGAATGGAGACTATGACATTTAAATAATCGTGTCATTGTAGATCTAAAAAAGTAAGATAGATGAATTCGTTACTGGAACCAGGTTCATTTAAATAAGATGCTGTAGCCCTTTGAGAATAGTTTAGGAAGTTCAGAATTGGATATAAAGTGGACTTAAACAAGATTGATACCATAGAGAAAAATTTGAGAAGTTGCTTTTGATATTAGAAAAGTTTCAAGTTCTCCCATCGAAGGAAGAGCTGTGTGATTGTGCGTCCAAGAAAATCCGTCGGAATCCACTTTGGATCCTCGGGTTGCGTACTTTAGAACTTGTTCGGGTCTTCAGAAAATTTACTCCAGAACCACCTTTGAGATTAGGCATCCTTACATGGTCACTTTTGAACTCGAAGAATCTTACTAGAAATCTCAAACTGCCAGCAAGTATCAAATACGTAACTTTATAAACTTGTGTATAGAATTTAACTAAACATTTAAGTTTAAGAACCTCTTTCATTATTAAATTATTCTCCTATCTTTCTGAGTACATTTCAATTAGTGAAAAAAAATACTTGTATTGATAAAATTCGTTTAGACTTGCATGTAAATAATAAATCAAAGTATGTGCAACGAATATTATAAACTACTGCAGTAGAATTTTCGTTATTTCTGAGATTTTTGATAACATATAAACGAACCCTATCTCTTTATATAATAGTAACATTAATAAAAATTTTTTATAATATATCCTATTATAAGGCGCAGTATCGAATACTTGAGAAGGGCGCAAATTAAAAGTTCGCTTTGAATGGTACGATGAATGGCCGTTCTTTGACGGCGAGGGAAGCTGTGCAGACAATCCAGTTTCATTGACATCAGGGGTAGAGTTCGCCCGGACGAACGGACCATCGTATCGCGTCGCGTCGTCTCGAAAATTTTCTATTCACGCTTCTTCTCGTTAGCTGCCGGCGCATGTACGCTATTCGGGTACCGCGCCGCGTCTCGAGAGGAGTTGTTCGAGTGTTTCGTGGATTTTCCATCCCTCCCTCTTACGAGCGCTGAAACTTTCGCGACGGTTTCCAGTTCCATCAGTTCGAAACTCTGTTTCTGAAGCATTCGGTTTTGAAGGAAGAAATTTTTTATGAGCTCGACGATTGGCTCCACTAATTACACGATGGGATTAAGTAGTCCCGATCTATGCAGAAAATTAATTTGACGAATGGTCTTGTACTTTTGATATTACATGTGAGATTGTTATTAAATCAGATATAACAAATGATAAATATTTGTAATTTCGTGAATTTAATACTATTGAGGCAGAAGACGAATGATTCGGTTTAGTTCTTGCACCGCAGCCATTCTCACCGGGGACTGTCTTTTTGCGGCCACTCCCTTAAAGGAATTGAAGAGGAAACAAATGATCGGAGTTTAAAGGAACGATAAATTTCTGCTGGCCGAGAGAGAAATCCCTATTATTCATGTCAACTCCGTAGAAGGTTCCCTCGGTGAATCTACAAAGCTCTTTCTGCAGGCTTAATGGCACTCAATCTTGAAATCCAGTTTGCGTCTATCAAAAAGTACACCTCTGAAAGATGTGATAAAAATTGCTTTCGTAACAAGTTCGGGTCTATACCTTTTTTTTTTTTTTACTAAACGTAATTCATCGATTAATCATTATTTATTTTAAATTGTACATGGAAGGTATTTAAATATTTATTGCAGCATGAAATAAATCTATTTTGAACCGGCAATAAATTAGTATCGGACGGAGAATGTAGAATGTCGAATGACTAGGGGACAGGTTCGAGTGTCGCTCGTCAAATCGGAATAATTTCGCCTAATTGGAATGAGTGTTCGACGCTCGTAAATTTGTCCCGAGCGAATGGCACTAGGGAAGGCAATAAAAACAGCCGGAACGGCGCAATTTCGTTCGATTAAATACCCTGCGATCGGACTAGTTCCGCGTATGTTTCATCGACTGCGGCAGAAACGTTCTGGAATTGTCAAGAATTTTTTTATACAATCCTTTCTGTTTTCCCTTTCATCATTTCTGTCGTTGCCTTATAATCATTTCCAATTGCTTATCAAATTACGTTTATCTTTCACGTAAACAATCTGAAAAATTCTAAAATAAACCATAGTTAAATAGCTTCATTGAACATTTCAATGATTACTGTATAGTACAGTATGAAAGTTCTGAATGAAAATGATATGCATTAAAACGAAAAGAATGGAAGAATTTTCTAACAATGTGATATTGCTTGGCACTTTTGTCCTGAAGCCTCGAGGTGAGAAGAATTTTGAATCCCCAATAGAGTTCTCGGGTCGTAGAATGCGTATCGAATCTCTTCCTAATCTTTGATGGTATCGGTCGGCGGTGACCAACTCCGACGGTCGATGAATAATTCGTGAGTCTCCCACGGCGAATGGAGGACCTTCCGGGTTCCCCATCTAAATTTCATCGCCGTCTACTGCGTTCTTGGACAGCTGAGGAATTAATTCCGCTTTCGACAAGCCGAGCGCCTCTTGACTCGCGCCATTCGACTCCGAAATTAATCGTCGGGAAAGCGGCCGGATTTCGATTTGTCGTAATGAAAATTAAATCTTCATCGCGATGCTGGTTTTGGTAAAAGTCCAATTCAATCGTATTTTATTCATCATCAAACTTCCATTCGCATTGTACGAAACTTCAGTCAATTTAATGATATTAATGAAAGTTTGATTAAGAGCTCGCAATCAATTTGTAACTCCGGTTGATTGTATTTTAAATAGATTTGAATTCTGTATAATGAGAGTTTCAACAATGATAAGCTCTGTTGCATTATAGTAATCTGTTTGCAGGAATTATCTTTCGGTTAAGCGTTTGTTAATACGAGAGCTTTGTTCAAATTGCTTTAGCTGTAACAGCGGTCTGGGCGCGACAAAGATGAAGGGTAAAGGGCGAAAATGTAGAATGGTATTGGTAGGAGTTCTGCACTCTGTACGCAGATGGCCAGGTGTGTCTGACTATACGCGGGTTGTGTTCACTTAGCATCGTTAGTGGTACGAGCTAGATAAGGTCGGCCATGCGGCTGACCACTTACGGCCGACTCTACTTGCGGCTTCTTTACCGCTTATGACGCAAGATCGATCCCATCTCTCGCATTAGTTCTAATTGTTTTGACAAATTATACCGAGCAATTTATTAATCGATCATTATATATCAGTAAATATGTAAAATTATGTTTATTAAATATTTATAATTATTTTTCTGTCTGCAGTTTATGCAATTTTTGTATGTCCTCAGTACCTCTTCATTCTTTAATTTTAGAATAGAATTTAATCTTTGCCGGCCAATCTCACGTTGAATAAAACATATTTTAAAATAATTGCGTGATTAACTTGGATCTTCTTCGACAACAGTCGGAGGTGTTTCAGGCCGCAGTTGCGGCGGCGGCAGCTGCAGCCGCGGGTGGAAGTGGGCAGCAACCTGCACCAACGCCCGCAGGCAACGAGACCAACCCCGAGGGTGCCGTCGAGGGTAGCACTCTGGTGCCTGTCACCTCGGGCGCGACCACGCCCGCGACTGCGACACAGGGTACAGACCTGAAGGGTCAGCCAAAACGCCTTCACGTTAGCAATATACCTTTCCGCTTCCGAGACCCTGATCTCAGGGCGATGTTCGGAGTAAGTTATATTTTTTATTTCTGTTATCATTTTTATATTTATTCAGTCAGAATATATTGTCAGAAATTCTTTAAAATTTAATAGAGCCCCAAGTATGAGTCTCTGAAATTTTATAGTCTCCTATAACGTACATAATTTTAGTATAGTACTTTTAATTGATACAAAAATAATCAATTAGTACAAAGTTCAAATACTAGAAGTATATAAAGCTAGAATATGTGTTTAATTATTTCTTCTGTTGATGAACTTCGAAGAAATTCAAGACAAAAATTGTGTTTCTGTTCTTCCAGCAATTCGGGCCAATCCTCGACGTGGAAATCATATTTAACGAGCGCGGCAGCAAGGTAAGCCCACGTTGCCCTTAGGCCGCGAGCCACCCCTGTCAACCCACCCCCGAGAATACAGTTAGACTTAAGCCACACAGAGTCGCGAGAGATTTTATGGTCCGCAAATCCTCGACGCCAGGATGGATTCGCGTTCGAGAACTCGTCGACCCTTCCTTCCCAAAGTAAATCCTTAACCCTTTCGATACACGTCACCTGGGCGTTCCTCGGACTACGCGTTTCCTCGAACACCGATTTAGGAAAAGCAGAACTAATCCGCGAGTTTCCTCGTCCATCAAAACGTCCTTGTATTCTCGCGCAACTTTCGCAATTTTCTCGCCCTTGCTGCCTCTTTTCTCTTTTGTATCCCCACCGCGATTTTTCTTTCGCGGGGCGAAACTTCTTGCGAAGAAAAACTCGAAGCGAACATCCTGGCAGCGAGGGTGTCGCCAGGGACCATAATCGTTCGCCGGTCGGGACGCAGCATCGCGCGGAGGGTTTGTTCCACGAAAGTTTGAATAAGGGAAGGAAAAGCGCACCGGTGCGGTGTTCCAGGTGCTATCTTGTTCGCTGCGAGGAAAGTGAAAACTGGGTCGTGACGCTGCGTCCAACCGGTGTTCTTCGTTCTTTTTGCAGCGCGATGGCAACGCGAACGTTTTTGTAATCTCGCTGTACTGCTCCCAAGTGTCGCGTAAAACCAGCTGGTGTCATTGTCAAGCGACTTTCCGCGTCGAAAGCCTTGGTTCCAAATGGCTCTTCTCACAGAGAAAGTTATAGCAGCTCCTTCGTGTTGCTCGGTGTTAAGTCGACTCAGATCATGGATTCTGTCGTCAGATAAAACGAGGAAAGAGTTTCAATAATAGGAGGAATCTGTGAATGGATTTTAATCGTTTAACCAGTTACTTATATTGGCTTCTAATAATCACACTTCTAATGAAACATTTTCTAAAACCTGTAAATCAGGTTTTGTCAGTCTCTTGAAATTTACTTTATTCGATTAAACATGAAAGTGCAGTTCTGGTTATCCGGTACATGTCGACAGTTTCGAGGGTAGAAAAAAAAATAGAACCTCTGACACTCATACACATGCGGAGGAGAGAGTTTGTAATGCAAATAGGTTTCAATATGGATGACAGGCAGTCTGGATAAGATTCGCGGTAATAGATCGCGGCGACAGCTGGCATCCGGTGAGCTTGCATATTCAGCGTCTTTGCGTCAAGTACACTCAAGTGCACTTCATCAAGCTGCCGTCAGGTACCACTAACCCAGTATCTACCGTCGTCCACTGTCGATGACGTCACGCGCGCCATGTCCATTGTCCATGATGATCGACCCTCGATTCTCTCTCGTCCAGGCAAATTTCAATCCTCTGATAATGATCCTTCAAGTTAGTGCAATGCAGGCACGTTATGATTTCAGTTATCCTGCACGCATCTCTCACAAATTTCATTTAATTGGTTTCATAAAGCGAGATCTTCGCACTTGGAACTATGAGTTCATCATTTATCGATCATCGCACAGGATCATTCCAATGATCCAAGAGAAAGTGAGTCTCGATTTTAAATACGCGTCTTCAGAATTGGTTAATTGATCATGAAATAAAAATGCAAAGATCGTTTTCCATTTATTTATTAATCAAAATTCAGTCACTTTTACAATACTGCACTTGGATTCGAAACTTCCTTAAAAGCGAACTATTGATAATGATCTTTATTCATTTGGCATGCGTACAAGTAAAAATTGAATTTTCTTAAATGAAAAGAGGGTACTATTTATTCATTATGCAATATAATCTAATTTTTTAACGGTCTGCTCACATTTCTAAGATTTCTAGCTTAAACGTAAGTCATCAAAATCTGTGCAGTGGAACTTGAAATATCAGATTTTTTCTTCGTGTCGATCGAAGTAACAGGTTTCAAAAAAATTCAAAGAGTGAAATAAATTGCAAGATTGCAAACCTATGATTTTAATTTGAATTTCAGTTAGGATTCATTTCCATTGCAATCGAATTCAATTACTTACACGAATTAGTTCAAGGTCAAGATATTTAACTGTCGGACTGTCATATCAATTATATTACATAATGAAAATGTAATCTTTGCATGTATATGTGCCAAACGAGTCGAGAATCGCTTTTGGTAGCTGTGCACCTAGAATTCGCGGTAGAATTCTAACAGGAAACGGTGACATCCGTTGTGTCGTTGCGACAGCCACTTCCGAGTGGGAGCCGTTCCAGTTACAGGTTACAACGCGTTGAAAGGGGATTAATTAAATTCGTTGGTGACGATTTATCCAGGCTCGCCTGTCCAGTCGTAATGGTGAAACGGCTTCTTTCCTTTTTCACCCTTGTTCTTCTTCCGTTGGCGAAGATCGACTCCGATCAGTCGTGCCAAGTTTTATAGTATTCTGGACAAATATATAAGCTTCACGTTCCAATTCACAAACGAGGGCGAGTAAAAAATTCTTGGTTCAGCAGTTTCCGATTTCTTCATGGTTTTTTTATTACATAGAAATGTTACAAAATCTTTGACAATTGGAACGGTGAGTAAGATCGTTTCATTCTAGGATCAGTTCTTCTTATGACGTTATTTAAAATGTCAAATGGTATTTCTATCAAGGTTTATAGAATATTCGTTGAAGTATTAATTCATAGGATTGTAGAGCGACAAGAGGTAAACCGTAATAACGGAAAATATCTCGAGGCTGCAGGCTTTTCCATCAAGGACCGGCTCAATGTCGCAGTAATACTTAACTCTATACACGAAAGCTGCTTTGGTGGACGCGACGGAAAAGTCGCCCGATGGGAAAGCGCGATAAGTCGCGGGAAAAGCGGACTCCGGCGGTGCGTGTAATTCGTAGCGCGAGCCGCGGCATTCATCACGCGCTGGGAGATCCAACAGCGACAATGGCACCGTGCGACGTAACTTTTGCATTGCAAATAACTTAGCTCGGCGACATTCCCTGGTTAGAAAATATACGCGCGTTGCCATCGAATGCCGTTTAGCATTTAAGCGATACGCGAGGAGGACGTGACGGGATCTATCCTTCTGCACGCGATTAAAGAAAAAATAGAACGCGAACTACAAACGCGAGGAAAAGGAACCCAGAGTTGAGAAAGAGCGGATGGACGTTCGATTCGATCGATGAAATCCTCTTTCACGAGAACGGGATCCCGTCACGGTGTCAGATTAGACTTTTATTCTTCCTCGTGTTATCCTGCTGAAACCGATCCGATTTCCATTTACCTTGATCGACGGAATTGTCGATCGTTTCTCCCGACTATTCGTTTTATTCCATAATTCAAGAAAGCATACCATATTAAGAAATGAATCGGTAGTTTCAAAGTAATCCTTTCCAATGGAAATCTCGTCGGAAATTCCGGCAGGATATCGTGACGAAGGTGTTTAGCTTTAAGGCGAACGAGAGAGCGTGTGACTGTGTGATTCTGTGAGAAAGACCTTTTCTCGAAAGCTTCGTCAATGTAAATGGAATGTGGCATCCCTAATGAAGTGCAGCATTTTGGAGAAGAAGATATATACTTTGAAACCGGTGCGGAGGAGTGTGCTCGTCGAGCCGCTATTTCAAAAATATTCCACAAACGTAATTAAAAAAAAAATTGTCCCTTATGAAATTTAATTTTATAAAATAAATAAGTAAATTGAATAAGTAAAAAGTATTTGTAGCTAAATATTGATTAGAATACAAAGTTATTAGATTTTATTTGAATTCTTAGAAAGTCACATAATTATATCGAGCTTTAAGTTTCAACCAAATTAAGGAACCACTCGTCGAGCGCACTTTTTCATCGCCGAGTATGTGCCAGTGACACGTACATACATTATCATAATATAACCAATGGTGTTAGTTCTCGTAGTTGTTAGACGAGCTATTGCATTTTTACTAGCTAGCATTCCGCATTTTATCATTATTTAGCTCCCATTGGTTATAAGGCAGCTCGGTGCACCTTGCGTAACTGTGTTCGCAGCTGCTTTTGGCGAACCGTATTATCCGAAAGTAACTAAAAGAGAATATCATCATCTGTCCATTATCCTACTCCTTCAAAGAAAACACGCGACATGCTCTTACTAGTATCCAGAATAAAAGAGCATTAATTTTTTTCACCGTTTCGTTCAGTTTTATTCATATCGTATAATGAAAAATGTGATTCAATATTAATTAGAGCTTTTTAAGAATAGTTTTATATTCCTAAACAATTTGGGGCTTAGTTTTCAACTCATTAATTCACTGGAACATTAAAATAATTCTTGGACTAAATATCATAATAACGTTACAGTTAAATTTTGCTATATCAATTCTTTCCTAAAATTTGCATTGAATTTGTTAAACTCATTTCTGAGAATGATTCCCGGGTTGGAGTACAGTAACGATCTCGCGAATGTAGAATGATTAAAAACGGAACGGATCGTTTTAAGATGGACGCAGCAGCGGACACACGGTGCACCCGGTGAGCCGGCTGCCGCCACTTCCGGTCGCGGAGGAGACCCTCGGGAGATGCTGCCCATTTGATTTGATGAAACTTTACCACACACACCTATACGTTTTTTCCGAAGCTACATCTAACCTACCACTCTCCAGTCTTCTCATCCTTCTTCTATCTCTATTTCTCTTCTCTGACGAGTTTCCCAGGGTGTTTCAAGCCCGGTTACACACATACACCCACACACACACACACACACGGACACGCACAGAGCGGCGGGTTATACTCACACTTACACGTTCAGAGACAAAAGCAGAAGACTAACAGAGAGTCGATGACGGCAAGTCGCTGTATCTTGCGTTCGAATCTTTCCTCTCGAGAGAGTAACGTAATCTCTTGTTAATTCGATTAATTCTTCCCTGCTGTACCGCGGGTCTTTACTAATGCTACCTGTATCGCGTTGGATTGCGATTAAATTCAAATTGTTAATTAGATGGTTCACATGCTGACCAGCATATACCTTCATGTTCTCATGCAGACCACCTTCTTTCATAGTTCTCTGTAATTTTGGGTTAAAGAATGT